TGGGGGTGGGCGAGGACGGGCACACGGCCTCGCTCTTCCCCCGCGCCGAGAGCGGCCTGGAAGGGGCCGCCACCGTGGTGCTGACCGAGAGCCCTGCCAAGCCTCACCAGAGGATGAGCCTCAGCCTGCCCCTCATCAACAGGGCCAGGCAGGTGTTCGTGCTGGTTTTGGGCAAGGGCAAGCACGACATCACCACGCTGCTCAGCAGGGTGGGCCACGAGCCCAGGAAGTGGCCGATCTCGGGCGTCAGCCCCAGCTCGGGCCAGCTGGTGTGGTACGTGGATTATGAAGCTCTGCTGGGGTGACGGCTGCACAGGGTCCCTCCTCTGCCTTGTCTGCGTGGCCTTTACAGCCTGGATTGTCCTGCACCATGTCCTCGTTCCTCCGTGGCCAGCAGCAGCTTCATCCCTGACACCTCCAGCATCTGGGAGCACCTCTGACATTTGAGCCTGGAGGAGCTGGGCTCAGTGGCCAGAGCTCAGGAGGAGCCAGGAGCCCAGTGCAGCTTTCTGGCTCTGCTCTGGGTTCTGACTGACACTTTGGACAAACGACTTCACCTTGAAGTGCCTCAGTTTCCCTGTCAGGCCTTTGTGCTTGCTGGCGTGTACCTACCTCGCAGGCACTTTGTTAAATCAACCGCCTGCCAAATTCTTTCTAATTTTACATCATTCTCAGGCTAAAAGACAGCAGCACCACGCTGATGCCCTGCCCTGCTGGGCCTGGCTGGGCAGGCTGTGGTCTCAGGGCAGTGATGGTGGTGTGCACGTGCAGCCCCGAGCCTCTGCCAGGTGCCAGAGCCTGCGGGCAGTAGCTGGCTGCCTCCGTGGAGGGGTGGCTGTGCCACGGGGCACAAACTGCTCTGGGGGCTCCCAAAATGATGGGCACAGGCTGAGGAATTGTGGCAGCTCACAGAGCTGTGTTTCCAGCAGCGCAGCCATCACCGGGGGAAAGCTTGCTGCTCAGAGGAACTGCTGGCTTTAGGAATCTTTTCTTTTTAAACCAAAATGCCCATGTTAACTTCATTCCAGTTCTTTGTATTTGGTGTGAGGGAACAAGTTTTAATGAGGAAATGACCAATGAGAGAGTAGCTATATTGTTAGGAATAACAGGGTTTATTCCTCGCTTACAGATGACTGTAGCATTAGAGTTTTCCTATTTTTGTACACTTGCTTGATAATATGTGGCTGGCACCTCTTGAAATAAACACTGAAACGTTTATTTGCACTTTGAAATAAGCACATGGGTTTTCCCCAGGGAGCTACTGTTCTTTGCAGCTGAAAATAAGGTTTATTTGTGAAGTCTCTATCTAGTGGGTCACCCCAAAATTTATCAGAGATTTTATTAAAATCCATTCAAAGTTTCCACATGTTTTCCTTGGTGAGTGGAGCTATCTGGATTCTTTGGGGGATTTTTCAGAAGTATATTTTTTTCCACACAGACAGTTTCTGTTAAACTCTTTAATACTTAGCATTTGCTAAATGAAAACCAAATATTTTTGCGTATACAAAATTTATGTCTGGAAAGAGAGAGACTGGATGGGAAGAAGGGTTAAATGAGCAACAAATCTGATGAGGAGGAATGGCAGCAATCCACTGGGCTGTAGGCCAAGGAAGCAGGGCTATTTTTATTTTGTGAAAGTTATTAATAGAAGGTGTGCACCTTCTTAAGAGCTTGTATTAATCTTTCTTTGCAAAGGCAGCTCCATGGAGTAACTTCTTAGAGTCTGTTTCTCCCATGAGTCATTATTGATACTGATTTTTATCAATTTTTTTAATGTCAAGTGCATTCCTACAATTCAATGGTATGATTATATGTTTTACAGAAAACTGGAAATAACTAATTTTTAAATTCAACTTTTATAAATCAAATTGTAAAATCTCTTTTTTTTCCCCGCGAGTAAAGTTTTGTGATTCTTTTGATGTTTAATGAATGGAGAATTATACTGATAAAAAATAGTTTTTAACCAGAAGTGTCTTTTAATTTCTTCCAGAGATGGGTGGTCTTTCCCTGTCGTCCTGGTGAGTGAAATTTCAGGGTTTTAGTTGTGCAATGCCACAATGTCACTGCAGTGTTAAATGTTCACTCTGACTCTTGCTGTTTGGTTTCTTCATCCAGGCAAGGCCAGGACTTTTCAAAGTAAGGAGCAGCCAAAGCCCTTTTAAGGTGAGAAGATGGAATCACCCAGTGCTGTGCAGGGTCCTGGAAAGGCCAGGCCAGGAAATCTCCCCTGCTCCACATTTCCATTGCATTTCCACGGACACTGTCAGCCCAGCACAGAGTTCTCCAGAGCACACACTTCCCAGAGCTGCGTTTTTGACTCTGAGCTCAGGGGCTGCAGCTGAAGTTGCAGCTGAGCCCAGCTGTGGCTCGGGGCTGGCAGGGCCCGTGGAAGGTCCCAGAACTGAGTCCTGACCTCCAGCTGATTGCCACAGGAAAATCCCAGCTGACCCCTCATCCAGGCAGGGAGGGGAGCAGCAGCAGCTCCATCGCAGTGCCATGGGGAACGCTTGGCTCTCCTGGCAGGGGAGCATGGCAGGAATTAAATCAGTGTTCTTGCTGCACTGCTGCTGATGCACCCGTGCTGGTTTTCCTGGGAGGAAGGGCTTGGAAGGAAGGGCTGTTTTCCCTGCAGCTGGAAGGGCTCTGCAGAGATGCAGGGATGGCACTGGTGCTGCAGCAGTGCAGGGCTGGCACAGGGTGTTGCAGCAAAGCAAAGCTGGCCCTGCTCTCACACACCCAGAATTTCTCTGTACAAGGATTTCCTGCAGGAGCTGAGTGTCCAGCACAGAACTGACCCTGCTCAGTGTCCAACACAGAGCTGACCCTGCTCAGTGTCCAGAACAGAACTGACCCTGCTCAGTGTCCAACACAGAGCTGACCCTGCTCAGTGTCCAACACAGAACTGACCCTGCTCAGTGCCCAACACACAGAGCTGACCCTGCTCAGTGTCCAACACAGAACTGACCCTGCTCAGTGTCCAACACAGAACTGACCCTGCTCAGTGTCCAGAACAGAACTGACCCTGCTCAGTGTCCAACACAGAACTGACCCTGCTCAGTGTCCAACACAGAGCTGACCCTGCTCAGTGTCCAGAACAGAACTGACCCTGCTCAGTGCCCAGCACACAGAACTGACCCTGCGCAGTGTCTGGCACACAGAGCTGACCCTGCTCAGTGTCCAGTACACAGAACTGACCCTGCTCAGTGTCCAGCACACAGAACTGACCCTGCTCAGCGTCCAGCACACAGAACTGACCCTGCTCAGTGTCCAACACAGAACTGACCCTGCTCAGTGCCCAACACAGAACTGACCCTGCTCAGTGCCCAGCACACAGAACTGACCCTGCTCAGCGTCCAGCACACAGAGCTGACCCTGCTCAGTGTCCAGCACACAGAGCTGACCCTGCTCAGTGTCCAACACAGAACTGACCCTGCTCAGTGCCCAGCACACAGAACTGACCCTGCTCAGCGTCCAGCACACAGAACTGACCCTGCTCAGTGCCCAGCACACAGAGCTGCTCTCCTTTGCAGAGGAGCTGCTGCAGGTGCCTTTCCTCGGCTCTTCTGAACCTCTCTGGAGCCAGCTCTGCCAGCAGCAGAGGGTGCTGCTTGCCCGTGCTGCTGAGAGCCTTTTCCCAGCCCTCCCCTGCCCAGGGCTCAGAGGGCTCGGGGCTCTCTGTGTGAGCAATGGGATCCCCTCTGCTGCAGCCTGCCAGCTGCAAGGGCAGTGTCCCTCCCATCCACAGAGTCTGTCCCAGCCTCACACGCCATGCTGGGAGCCCCAAGGATTTAAATATTTCGCTTCAGACATCCAAAAGGGTTTTCAGAAGGTGGATGCTCATCCCTGTCAGTCCCCAGGGCTAATCTGTAGCGCTGAATGCTGATCACAGGAAAGCAGCCCTGCCAAGCCATTCCTCCTCCTGCCTTCCTTTCAATCGTCTCAGCAAAAACTCACAAGGATGGGAGCTGGGAAAGTCTCAGCTAATCCAGGCTCCATCCCCAGCCAGTTCTCCAAAAAGGCTTAGAGGGATCCCATTGCAGGCCACAAACGCTGGCCCCTGTCACTCACCCCCTCTGCCTCTGTGCTGCTGTTTGAGATGGAGACAGCGCTCAGAGCAAGCGACTGAAGGTCAGCAATTCCTGCTTCTTGAGGAAGCAAGAAAGACAAATGCTAAGGAAATAAAAGCAGACAGGATTCCATAGGAGCTGTGATCTCATCTGGCGAGAAGCCACCACAAAGCTGAGAAGTTCTGCTTCAGCACTTGTCATGTCTGGTTTCCTCCAGCTTCCCTGCTGCTCCTCTCACTCCTCCACCCCACTTCTCCCTGAAATTAGTGGGGGGAAGTAACTTAAATATGAGCAGGACCAGGTCAAAGCAAACTAGTTTTGAAAAAGCTACCCAAATATGTATCTATTTGACATAAACTCTCCTATTTTTATTTTGCAGGGTGTGAAAGAACGTATTTGTGCTGTATCTACAATGTCCCCGGTGTTTCTGGTCAGCTAGAGTAATAAATTTATTCTGATGTGAATGTGGTTTTTTTTTTTTGAAGGACCACAGTGGCTGGCATAGAGGAACTATTCCCCACAGATATCAAAATATGCTCAACAAATTATTGAATTAACCATGCTCTTTTTCCACGAGTGCCCCAAGACCATCAGTGACGAGAAATGTCAAGACCCATGCTATTGTCCAACCCCAAAAAGCAGTGACTGCAGCAGCGTGCAGGGGCATTCATTCCACACTGACTCAGATGGCAGGCTGCCACCTCCTGAATCACTCGCACCACTTCCTGCAGCTCCTAGGTGGTCCTTGGAGGTATCCCATGCAATATGGCTTGCTGAATTTATGACAATCCACGGCTTTACAGCTTGAGCAGCATCGCTACAAACCAGTCTTTTTGTCTGGAAACGCTGAAAAATTAATAATCTCAAAGGGGCACTACAGGGCCAGATTTGTCCGAAGGGTTGATTTTAGAATGAGGACTGAAAAGAACAGAATTGTACTTCCCTGGTTTATTTCTGTAAACACATGAGTCTTTAAGAAGCAAACAGACATTCCCAGGAGCGGTTGAAACAAATCACAGAATCGGTTAGGTTGGAAAAGACCTCTGAGATCACCGAGTCCATCCTGTGACATAACAGCACCACGTCAACCGGAGCATGGCACAAAGTGCATTTCCTAAACACCTCCAGGCACGGAGACTCCGCCGCCTCCCTGGGCAGCCCCGTCCCGCGCCCGATCCCCGTTTATGTGCAGAAACGCGGGACCGGGACACCGAGGATGGAGCGGTGGCCGAGCGCCCGCACGGTGCGCGGGGATGCCAGCGCCACGCCCGGGGCTGGCCCGGTCTGCAGCGAGCGTGGGGAGCAGCGCGGATCTCACACGGAACGGAGCCGGCACCGGGGCGGGGATGGGCACCGGGGCGGGGATGGGCACCGGGGCGAGGATGGGCACCGGGGCCGGGATGGGCACCGGGGCGAGGATGGGCACCGGGGCGGGGATGGGCACCGGGGCCGCCGTGGGCACCGGGGCCGCCGTGGGCACCGGGACCGCCGCGGCGGGGCTGCCGCTGTGCCCCGCGATCGCGACCTCGGCCGGCGGCAGCGACCCGGCCCGGCTCCGATCCCGGCCCGGCTCCGATCCCGGCCCCGCTCCGATCCCGATCCCGCTCCGATCCCGATCCCGCTCCGTTCCCAGCCCCGCTCCGATCCCGGCCCGGCTCCGATCCCGGCCCCGCTCCGTTCCCGGCCCCGCTCCGATCCCGGCCCGGCTCCGATCCCGGCCCGGCTCCGTTCCCGGCCCCGCTCTGATCCCGGCCCCGCTCCGTTCCCGGCCCCGCTGGTCCCCAGCCCCGCTCTCTGCTCGGCCCCGCTCCGTTCCCAGCCCCGCTCCGTTCCCGATCCCGCTCCGTTCCCGGCCCCGCTGGTCCCCAGCCCCGCTCCGTTCCCGATCCCGCCCCGTTCCCGGCCCGGTTCCCGGCCCGGCCCCGCCGCTCCCCGGCCCCGCCCGCCGCCGGCGCTGCCCGGGCGGAGCGGCCGCGCCCCGGGCCGGGCCGGGGGCGGAGCGGGGCCGTGCCGGGCGCTATTTGGGCCATGTGATGCCGGCCCGGCCCCGCTGGGCGCGCCGGAGCAGCGGGCGCGGGGCTCGGCCTGCCCGGGGCACGGCACGGCACGGCGCGGGGCCATGGTCCGGCGGGCAGCCCGGGCACGGTAGGAGCCGGAGCGGGCGGGGCGGGGCGGCTCCGCGGCCTCTCCGCTCTCGGTGCCAGCGGAGCGGTGCCAGCCGCGGAGCCGGGGCGAGGCCGAGCGCTGCCGGGGCCCGGGGCACCGAGGGGGCGATGGGCACCGGGGGTCTGCAGCCGCACCGGGGATGCCGCGGGAGGAGCGGCTGCCGGAGCCCGGGGCCGGGTGCGGGTCGGAGCCCGGGGCCGGGTGCGGGGCTGAGCCCGGGGCCGGGTGCGGGGCTGAGCCCGGGGCCGGGTGCGGGGCTCAGCCCGGTGCCGGGTGCGGGGCTCAGCCCGGTGCCGGGTGCGGGGCTCAGCCCGGTGCCGGGTGCGGGGCTCAGCCCGGTGCCGGGTGCGGGTCCGGGAGCAGACAGCAGCAGCGGTGCCGATCGCCCCGGCTCGGGAGGGCAGCGGGGCTGTTCGCTCCGGGGCCGTGCTTACCGCGGGGGGCTCCGGAGCGCACCTTACAAGGTCTGGTTACTGTGTCTCTTTTCTTGCTACACGAACCTCTGCCAATGCAACGGGGGCTTACATAATCCTCCTGCTGGAGGACCTGGAGTGCTGTTGTAAGGTCAGTCTTGCTGTAGCCTCCTGCTGGACTGTGCCGTGTTTTGTCCTTATTCCCTGGCTAAAGTGAGCAGCCAGGGTGCCTGGTGACCATGCCTGATTCAAAAACTGTCAATTGTCTGAGCCATGGCTCGAGATAAGGAAGTTTACAAAACGATTGTAAAAGTGGGAGTTGCTCCTTGGAGAGAGATTTTTTTTTTTTTTTTTTTTTTTTTCCCCATGATAGCGATGCAGGATGGCTCAATGAGCCTTTTGTCCCAGGAGTAATCTTTCCCACCCCTCTAACATCCGATTTCTACACCAGATGCAGCGTTGCAAAGCTCAGCGGCACAGACAGCTCAGTCTTGCTGGAGTAAGTTGGCTGCTGCATCGCCAGGACCAAACTGTGCAGTGCCTCCAGGGCCTCACAGTGACAGTGGTGTGGCTATGGGATGGTCAGAGTGGCTCTCCCAGCCTGCAAGGAAGGAAATTTCCTGGTGAGTTATTAAGGGAACAGCCAGGAACGCGACAGAGCCGTGCTGCTGTTTACAGATGTGGAGGAGCATCTTCCCTGAGCTGCCCGCGGGAGCTGCCCTGTCCCTCCCTGCCTGTCACCGTGTCACCGTGCTGGCCCTGCCCAGGCTCTCAGTCGTGGTGCTGATGGATATAAAAAGCAGCAATTTGCTCTTCACCCCCCTGAAAGGCAGGGGACGAGCTGCAGCAGCGGATTCCTCAGGGGATGTTGGGTTGTTGCAGTGCAGCAGCCTTTGCAGCCTCTCTCCTGTGCTCTGGAGGTCACTGAAGTGCACTGTGATGTGCTTTGGAGCTTGTTTGTAAACTGCTGGATGCTGCCGAGACGTGGGCTGGTGTTCCAGGAACTGGCCAGCTGCTACGTGCTGCGTTCGTGTGCAGCCACTGCTGCTGCTGGATGTGGGGAATGGCCTCTGCTTGTTGCTCTCCTGTGCCTGGGTTGTTTTTTTCCCCTGGACCCTCTTTCCTTCCCTCAGAAAAAGTGAAAGCAGTCTGCAAGGTCTGCTTGTCTTCTGAGGGCTAATTAAGAATTCATTAAGTTCCTGGAATTAAAATCTGTAGCTAATGAGCCAGTGAGGACACTGTGCCAGGGTTTGGGCCTGAGTGCAGACACTGCTGACAGATAATACTCCAAGTCACAATGTACCTTTTGAAGAACACGAGATGTGCATTGGAGTATGTTCTGTGGCTCTCGGAAGTTTGTGTCTTGCTCAGATTTTGTGGCTGATGCCTCTGCATGCTCTGGAATTGGCTCTGAGGCCAGTGCAAGTGGTGGCTGCGATTTTGGGCTTTAGTACACTTGTACTTCCTGAGCCTGGAGTCACCCAGGGCTGCTGCTGACAAGGGGTGAGGATTGACTGGGGCTGGCAGGGAGCACCAGTGAGGTGATTTCAGCTGGGCTGAGCTTATCTCCCTGCCCTGTGGCAGGAGCCTTGTACTTGCATTAACAGCTCAGCATAGCAGCAGCGAGGAGCAGCTGACAGACCCGCCTGAGCTGTGAGCTTCCCAAACCTGGTCTGTGGCTGGCTGCCCTCCTTTGTGTTTCCAGGTGTGTGGTGGAGCTCAAACCCACAGCTTACCTTGCCAAGGCACGAGTCAGACACCAGCTCTGTCAGACAAAGCTGTGTGGTGCCTGCAGAGTAGAAGTGAGTAAGTGTCTGGTACCAGACTGCAGTCACTGGGTTCCTTTGCTGGTGGCCTTTGCAGAATGAGCTCATGTCAAGGTGTTGACTCACTTTCAGTTACTGCACTGCTCTGGGAAACAAAGAAATCTTCCCTTGAGTTGCTCCATGTGAGTAACTGCTATAGCTGTCTCTGTTTCCATGAATAATTGCTGGGGGAAGAGAGCACTTGTCCTTAACAAAGATAGGATGTGGGCTACAGGTAATGGTCAAATACTCTCTGCTGAGTGTGAGAAAATATAGCTAAAAAATAACAGTTTCCAAGCACATGGTGGGGAAAATGTGCTGCTGTTAACAGTGTTTTCCCAGGGACTGCTAAAACATCCATTCCCTTTTAACTCTGCACTGCTCTGCCCTTAATGGTAATGCTTTGGAAACTCCTGGGATAAAGTAAATTGATCTGTGGTACTGGTCAGAAAATTCTCTTGCAGACTAAGTGGTTTTTACAGCCAAAAGAAAAATCCTTCTGGGTGTTAATTTGGTACAGGAACTGCTTTTATCTGTAGCTCTGGGGTGGCATGAGCTGCCTGAACTCCAGAGCATTTAAGGGAAGGAGATACAAAAAAAATTCCCAGTAAGGTTGTGGGGGCAGTGGGGAAGGCACTGACAGAACCCTGAGCTGCAGCATGAGCCCTGTCCTGCTCCCAGGGAAACTGAGTCACTGTGCCAGCCCGAGGGGCTGCCTGGGGGCTGCAGGCTGCCCTGGCAGAGCCCTTCAGGGCTTTAGGAACCTCTAGCTCTTTAGGAAAGAGGAGAGGGAAGGTGTCCTGGAGCACAAGGAGAAGCTGTGAGTGCTGCTGCAGGGCTCGGTGCTGCCTGTCTTTGTCACACGTGTCCTGCCCGGGACTGCTCTGAGTGTGCTGAGCTGGCACCGTGTGTGTGTTTGTGTGTGTGTGTGTGTGTTTGTGTGTGTGTGTGTGTGTTTGTGTGTGTGTGTGTGTGTTTGTGTGCCCCAGGGAGCGGGGTTTGGAGGGATGAGTGCTGCAGGCAGGCACAGCTGTGGGCTGGCTGCCCCTTCCTCCACATCTCCTCCGTGTGTGGCCACGGCTCCCCAGGCACCCAGCGTTCCCAAAGGCAGAATTCCCAAAGGCAGAATTCCCAAAGGCAGAATTCCCAAAGGCTTTGCCTGTCTGCTGGCTGAGGCTGGGCTGGATGCTGCTTCCAGGCTTTATTTCGTGGGCTCTGCACTGGGCTGGTTCTGGCAGTGGGGTGGGAAAGGTGGGAAATGTCTTACCTGTGCCACAGGGAGGGGTGGGGGTTGGAAGGTGTGGATTTGGCACTGTTCCACTCCTGTGGGAGATGCCTCATCATCCTCCCTTCTGCTTTTATGTGTTGTACTTCAGCGTTGCAGGTCAGATTCGGAGCCTTTTGGGTTAGCATCTTTTTCTCATTTAGTAGAGAATCAGCCACATGGCTTTGCCTTAGCTTTTTTCCTTAATGCCGGAGGGTTTTGTCCACTGATGTTTCCTTGTCTCATGGCTTTGTGAGTTTTTTCTGTTCTAGAACATGGGAAGACAGACTTCGAGTGAAGCAGTGCTGCTGCTGTATAACAATAAAACTTCCCCTGGGAGGAGAAAGTAACACATTTCTTTGTTCTCTTACAAAGCTTTCTCTTTAAGGAAAAGCTTTTTACTTAAACAAACAAACAAAAGGACCCCAACAACCAGCAGCATCTGCCAGATACCAAAGTGAGAGCAATTGAGAGCTTTGGGGCAGAAGGTGGTGATATCTGGATGGAGTTACCAAACATGGGCTTTTTCTTTTAGCCTGGAAGGGGAATTTGATGAAGCTTCTAAGTCAGAGCAGCTGTGGGGATGCTAGCTTCAAACTGCTTTCTTTGGAGAGCTGCTGTGTTATCAAGTCAGGAATCTGTCCTGAGGAGATCCCAGATGGGGCCTTGACACCATAAATGTACAAAGGCACTCAGTTGCACAAAAACTGCAGAAACAACTTCGTCCTGAAGAACGTGAGCCACAGATGGTAAACTGCCAAGAAAAGCAAGCAAGGGGTAAGGCCAGGCCGTTCTCTACATGAGAAGGCTACATTGGTCTCAGATGTTTAGAAATTCTTGGTTTAAACTTCTGCAGGCTTCTCCCTGGCTAAATTCTGGTTTGAATGGCCTCTTGTAAATTCAAATCTGCTTCATGCAGAGATGTGAAAAATGCCTGCATCCTAGCTCTAGAGTCTGGAGGTTAGGAGCAGGCCCTGGAGTTTGCCAAAGTGTGCTTCTTGCCCTGATGCCCTAATTCATTGCTGGGTGGCACCTCGGGCCCCCTGGCTCTGTGCTGCAGGGGGGCAGCATTGCTGCTCAGGGAGGGCAGAGCAAGAATGCCCCTTGGAACTTCCCCACAGCAGCCCGTGGTCCTCCCTGCTGTGCCAGCTTGGCAGCAGCCCCACATGGAGAATCTCCCGTGATATTCAGGCACCCTGTGCTATTTTAAGGCTAAAGCAGTCATGTTGCATGTGGACAGGGAGGGAGGGCTTGCTCTGTCCCACACTGAGCCCAGGGCAGTCGTGCAGCTGGGGTTTGAAGGTTCTGGAGGTGCCCATGTAAAGAAATGCTCAGCACGGTGTGAGCAGCTGGCGAGGGGCGAGCTGAGCTGGAGGGCTCCTGTCCATGTCCCAGTTCCTGTAAACTCCACCAGCTGCAGAATAAACCTGCTGACCCCTGTGCTGAGAAGGGCTGAGGGCCTGTGTGCATGCAGAAAGGACCTGGCTTGGTGCCTGTGGGCAGGAAATGGAGATGCTTGGATGTTCTGTTCCACGCTGGTGTGACGGGCACGAGCTGCTGCGGGCTGTGCTGTCCCCTCTGCCCTGCCTGCTGTCCCCACAGTGTCCCTGCTCGTGTCCTGGGCTGTGTGTGGGGCACGCTGTGCACTGCCAGCTGCAGCAGACTGGGGGTGGGAGTCAATCAGACCATTGAACGCTGATCTGTAGTGAGCCAGGGCACTGCTTCCCTCTCTTCTTCCTCACAGCATCCCTGGGGTGCTGTTCTTCCTCACAGCATCCTTGGGGTGCTGTGCCTCCTCTGTTCTTCCTCACAG